CTGCCTCCATTTCCTGCAGCCCCTGCTGTTCCCCTTGCTGCCACCACCACTTTCTGCAGCCCGCATCATTCCTCATGCTGCTGCCACTTCCCACAGCCCCCTGGCTGCTCCCTCTGATTCTCCTCACACTGCTGCCACTTCCCACGGCCTTGTTGGTGCTCCCCCCCCATTGCTCCCCACTCTCCTGCTGCTTCCTGCAGGCCTCCTGCCACCCCTACTTCCCTCTGCCTTCCTGTCTGCTGCTTCCCACTACCCTCCCCCCCCACCTGCTGCTTCCAGCTCTGGCTCCAGCCTGCACTAGCCAGCACCACGCAGCTCCCAGCCGCTGAGCTGATCGCAGCAGTTTCCCCAGGTTCCTCTGTCCAATCTTATCTTACTTTCCACATGGATGGAGAGAGGCAGGGAACGGCCCCAGCATCACAAGGCCAGAAGCCGCAGAGTCTTCTGGTTAGAGGCTGGGGTGGGCTGAAGCCAGGCAGGCCTTCTGCTAAGCTGCTGTGTCCTGCCACTGGCTCCCCTTGGGTTCTGCTACTGCTGGCTGCCTGTCACCTTTGACAGACAGCCAGGGGCAGATAAAAATTAGTTTTCTAAAATGTTTAGGGGGACCACAAGCCAGATAGAATGTCCTGGCAGGCTGTATCTGGACCATCCCTGGTATAATGTGTAGAGGTAGCCTTTAATATTTGTGCCTTTTTCACAAAGGCTTCCCTAAAAGAGGCTGGGGAATACTTAAATGGACTTTTGATGGAGACTTATCCATTTGTTAGGAGTGGGGGAGGGAAGATGATCAAACAACATTATTAGAAGATGATTTTAAGTTAATGTTTTGATTTTTACAAAACAATTTGCTTTTTTTTGCAACAAAGAATTTAAAACGTTCTTATGGAAAATGTTAAATGAACTTTTTTTTATAACTTTCTGGTAGTAACTGATGTTTTTTTCAACTTGTTCCCAAGGCAGTCTTTCATGAAAGCAGGTATTGTGATTGATTCCCTCTTTCTAGATATGGAGGGTAGAGGGGGGCAGGGATCATAACGCTGTTGCTCGGGTAGCTTTGCTTAGTTTCCTCCCTGTTACTGTACCCAGGGAAGGCAGAGCTGTTTTAAAAAGAGGTAAGTTAGGGAGTCCCTATTAGGCTTGAAAACTAGCAACTTTAAATATTTTTCTCTCTAAGGATATGACATTTTTGCATCTTAGGGAGAGGCTGCACAGGTAAACATTAAACATAACCTTGTCCTGTTTCTCTCTTAAGACCTCTAGGCACTCTAGCATCTTCAGGAGACCCCTCACTGTCTGCCATGGGACCAGAAGTGAATGAACCAACTCGTACTACCTTCAGTTCAATGTTGTTCCTTTGCCTTGCCAATTGATCCAAGCTGGATTTATTGGCAGCCCAAATGATGAGTGCTTGTATAGTCATCAAGCATTCAGTTAGTTAGTTAGTTTCTACCTGCAGGTCTGTCAGCACCACCTCTGTATTATTTACATTTGATCTGAGGGCAGCCTTAAAGGATTGTAAATTATTTTATAGCTCAGCTCTTGCTACTGGTGCAAGGTGTTGAATGCATTCAGAATATTATGTGAGAGGCAAGGATCTTTGTGGATGATATCTTTTATTGGACCAACTACATAGTTAGGATAAAATTGGACAGGCTTTCAAGTGCAAGATATCTTTCATAAGGTCTGAGTAGATGTTGTTTTTCATATTTTTACCTCCTTCCTTTTTTTAGTAAACAATGTAG